TTTATAGAAAGGACATTTTACATATAGGACATTTCATAGAGAGGGTTTTTCATAAACAGGACATTTTATAGATAGGACATTTTATAGCCAGAGTAAAATATTAATAGACAGAGAAATATTTAAATAGACAGACAAGAATTGATCATGGGCAGCCGTAGTACATTTGAATTTCCGATCTGGGTCAACCTTTCCGGTCCCAGTTTGTACTGCCCAGCACGGACATTGGGTTAATAAAGAAGACAATCAACAGGACTAGCCGGTGCGGTCAGACTTTATGCTTCATATAGGTTGAATTTACTTTTACTGAAGGGGCAGAGGTGCATGTGATAGGTTTTTGGTTAATAACAATGTCTCACTATTTAAGAAAATGTGTTCAATCAGAGATACTTACATTTTTTAAGGGTCGTCTTCCAGTTCCTAAGCTAAGCTTCTGCTTCTCACTGTAACACATATATTGAATAGTGATATGTAGAGTTTCTTTTTCTTTAATTGATGATATGGTAGCCTGTAGAGTTGTATAGTTTTGTAGGATATGGTTGGAAGTGAACAGACCCCCTGCTGCAATCCTTTCATCTAACTCCTCATATATTAGGCGAACAATGGAAAAGCACACTTGTTAAAAATAACAATATTTACTGAATAAATGAGTTTCTTTTATCTACATTTATATTAAATAGATAGATTATACATTATAAAAACAAAAACATTAAAGAAGGAAATATAAAGGGGGGATAAAGATAGAAATAAACGTAATCTGGAGCAGAAAAAGAAGGAGAAGAAATATTGAGGAGGAAGAAAAGCAATATAGAGAAGAAGGAGAAGAAATATCGAGGTGGAAGAAAAGAAATGTAGTTTCAGAGGAGAGAAATATAGAGAAGGAAGAGAAGAAATATAGAGAAATAGGAGAGAAATATAGAGAAAGAGTAGTAGAAATAAAGAGAAGGAAGAGAAGAAATATTAAGGAGGAAGAAAAGAAATGTAGAGAAAGAGGAGAAGAAATATAGAGTAGAAATAAAGAGAAGGAAGAGAAGAAATATTAAGGAGGAAGAAAAGAAATGTAGAGAAAGAGGAGAAGAAATATAGAGAAGAAGGAGAAGAAATATTGAGAAGGAAGAGAAGAAATATAGAGAAGAAGGAGAAGAAATATTGAGAAGGAGGAGAAGAAATCTAGAGAAGAAGGAGAAGAAATATTGAGAAAGAGGAGAAGAAATATAGAGAAGAAGGAGAAGAAATATTGAAAAAGGAGGAGAAGAAATATAGAGAAGAACGAGAAGAAATATTTAAAAAGAGGAGAAGAAATATACAAAAGGAGGAAAAGAAAAATAGAGAATGGGTAGAAATATAAAAAGAAAGAGAGTAAAAGAAATATAGAGAAAGAGGAGAAGAAATATTGAGAAGAAGGAGAAAAAGTGTAAAGGAAGAGGAAAAGATAAAGAAGGAGGAGAAGAAATATAGAAAGGGTGAGGGTGAGGGGGGGGGGTTATTTCCCACTAACCTATTCCCTTCACCTTGTAAAATATTTAATTCAAATATTTTTGACATGTTTTCTTTTTTCTTTTAATGTCTGGCATTTTCTTTTTTGACATTTTTCCCCGAAAATAAATAGATTTTTGGACATTTGAAATCTGACACTAGTCCAGAATTCCACACCTCCAGGAGCGGATTTAGTTTTACAAATAGAATAAATATAATAAATAGGGAGTTTTTTTTAAACTATGAATTCTGTTTTATTAAATAATCTAATTTTGAAATATAAAATGTGTTCACCATCAGGTTGCATGATAATCTAAGTTTGAAATATAAAATGTGTTCACCATCAGGTTGCATGATAATCTAAGTTTGAAATATAAAATGTGTTCACCATCAGGATGCATGATAATCTAAGTTTGAAATATAAAATGTGTTCACCATCAGGTTGCATGATAATCTAAGTTTGAAATATAAAATGTGTTCACCATCAGGTTGCATGATAATCTAAGTTTGAAATATAAAATGTGTTCACCATCAGGATGCATGATAATCTAAGTTTGAAATATAAAATGTGTTTACCATCAGGTTGCATTAGTATATTTGATTTCCTTTTGATTGTATCATATCACATCATTGATTTTTCAAATTCTACCTTTTTGGCCCAAGAATGAATTTAGAGTTTTGAGTCGAATTAGAATATATATTTTTTAAATATACATTTTTCACATTAAATCTACACCGACCTCACACCTGTCAGGGGAAAAGTATAATTTGTCAAATTTCAGTATTTTCCGGGTCCAAGCAGACGTTCAGGGTTAGTAAACTAGGATAGGAGAGATTACTCGCCACAAACTTAAATTTTTTTATCTTTGTAGTTTTGCAACATGAAGGCGCGAACCTTTAATTTTTTAAATTTTGACTCATCGATCTAGCTATATATATATATATACAGCATTCTGAGTTGCAAATATCAAATGTTTACCTTATCAAGTTTCAAAGATATAGTTGTTAGAAAACTTGAGTTTGTGGAAAAAAACCAGTTCTTAACTTGAACATATGATGGGTGGAAATATTTAATGCTGTCATCTATATTTATATAAAAGTTGTAATCTTTGTTTGTTTGTCTGTTTGTATTTTTTTCCGATCATAACTTGGGAACCCCTGGACCGATTTGCCTCAGAATTTGATCGGGAAACTCGGGAGACCCACAGGAATGTTCTTCGCTTGGTTTTTAGATTCTAAGTTGAGTAGGTCGACTTAAATCGCGAAAATTCAGTTTCCCGGTAAAATCGTTCAAGTGCGGGTAAATGGCAGAGTAACTTTTAGTAACCGGGGTATCGCTGGGTTCCCAAACTAGCATAATATCAAGATGGCAGTTTACTCCATAAATTCGTGCACTGGTATCTAACTTATGTTATATTGTATCTATATCTCTGTTTGTTTGTTTGTGTGTGTTTCTGATCATAATTCATGAACGTCTTGGCCGATTTGCCTCAAATTTTGATTGGATAACTCTGTATAAAAACGGAAATGTTCTTATCTAAAAAGAAAGTTAGGTTCCAAGCAAAGCTGGATTCCCAAGCTATTGCAGATATATCAAGTGATTGAGTCTGTGTGCATTAATTTCCGCGCTAAAATTATCATTAATGAAAAGATATAATTGATTAAATAGAAGTATAACATGACTGCCCAGTACCTGCAGTAAACAAAACCATTACAAACTTAATTCTGTTCTGCAACAGAATAAAGAATTAGAAGAGAAATAGAAGACAGACAATTAAATTTGGTTTGTTGATAGATTAAAATAACATTAGCACAAGTTTCTCTGTTTTGTATTTGGTTAACTAAAAGTTTGGATGTGGTCAAGGAAGAATTCTAGAAAAGAAGAAAATTCGAGAAGAAAATTACATTTATTCTAGCTTTAGAATTATAGGGTTGGGATTTATTTGTAAACAATGTACACAGTCTGCAGAATCTGGATACTTAATCTATTTTTCTCTTCAATTCTCTCTCACGAAAAATCAACAATTCTGATTTTTTATGATCATTATGATTTAATTCTAATTTCAAAGTCAAGCCTTGAAGTTTAATTATAGAAGAATTGCGACTGTTTTTTAAACTTAAATTACCCAATTTCTTATATATTTACCTGAAGTTCTGAACTTATGAATTTGAACTGCCTACCGCCGGTTCAAATCACTGATTCAATCCTTCCTTAATTTAAACCGGCAGAAGGAAGTTCAGCAACGCAGCTCAAATACATCAAACTCGGTCCCCGGCGTTGCTTGTCCGTGCACAATTCTTTAGTTTGTGCCTCTCCGACATTTTATTTTTTCGACGGAAGACTACTTCCTGTGTCTAAATAGTTCTGGGCGACCCAGGGGGGATGTGAAGTTTTTTTATATAAACTACATCTCTCATAGTGTTTGCTATGGTTTGGCCGGCTTATAAGATCTAAAGTGCGACTGCTATGAGTTGCAAAGTTATCTGATTAACCTACTTCTTGTTTTATTTTATTAAAAATAAGTTGTATTTCATGTTTATTCAACTTCAAAGTTTCCTGAACTATATATGACTGGCCGGAGGGCAATTATTTAGTCAGAATACTTGAATAAATCTTTAAATCACTGATCAAGGACGTCTGGAAATATAAGTGTGAGGCGGGCTGTACAAAATCAAAAGTTTAAATAATTCCCTAGAATTTGAACACTGCAAAAATATTTACTGCATGGTTTAAAAAAGTATATAAGCTTTTAATTTCCAATATTTTTATGGAACAAGAGTAATGTAAATAATATTTTTTAATGTATAACAAACAGTTGTTACATAAACATAATCTGTATCCTACGTAAGTAAAATAATTTATATTTATTGATACAAATAAATTGATGAATATGGTGACAAAAATGTTAAGAAGACATTATTTCTAATAACACATCAACAAGAAAAAGATATGTGATTTAACACCAAGAAAACAAACTGTTTGGAAAATTGAGAAGTAAAAATTTACGAATAAACATGAGTGTAGGTGGAGGATGGAAGAAAGAAAGTCTATGATGACAAAATATGATTATTTTTCTTCAAGAAAAATTTAAAATTCGTTGAAAATCCTAATGAGTAACATTAAACATTTATCTTATAATTCCGTCAGATTGATAGAATTTAAAAAAAATTGAAAAATTCTGCAATCTTACTTTTACAATTTAAGGAAAATGTATTTATGCAATGTCTGGAATACTAATGCTTTCAATAAACCCTTGAGCAAATCTGTACTGTGTACTATTACAAAGAAGTGACAGTACACATTTATATTCTTGTAAATAAAACATTGTTTCAACTGTTTGTCAGATTAAATTAAATGACCCAAGGAGAAGAACTATTTGTTGTAAGTACCACTTTAAACTTATTTTACAAGGTTTTCTCACCATGTGCAGAAACTGAAAGAGTAACATTTATAAAAAAAATTTAACCTTTTTTGGTTATATACAAAAAAAAGAACACATATTCTTTGTTTCTTTTTTTCTCTTGCTAAAGGGATTGTATAAGCGTAATTTCAAGTGACCCTCCATGTAAAAAAGGGAATGTCTGATCTACAACAATACCCTTAAATCTTTGCTTGATCAAAGATTTCGTAGATATTTGGCGGGAAATTAAGTGCAAAGAAACCGCGCGGGTGTACATCAGCACGGAGTGTACTACAGAGTACACTGTAACCTCGAGTCTCAATCTTATGCTATACAAATGAGGGTATCTCAATACGTCATTGTTGTCCGGACAAAGGTTTAAAGGATACCGTTGTAAATCGGACATGCCTCTCTAAAAATGGAAGGTCACTTGAAATTACACTTACAGTATCTTTAAAGAAATCTACAACAATTTCCAATTTTATCTTCTGTCACTATTATAATTTTTACATTTTGTTCTTTCTTTTCTAGACTTGCTTAAAATTTTGGAATGTGCTTTTTAATTAGATAATCTGCATCAAGCTTATTTAATACAGTTTAACCCTGAACTTCGAAGACATCGAGAGAATTCATAGAATGTTGAATTAACAATTTTTCAATATGCTTTTATACCTAAATTTCAGTACTTGTAAAATAAATAAATAGCCATGAATAAGGGGGAATAGTGTCAAGGAGCTCCCTATAATTTTTTAATTAAAACTAAATTTCTTCGGCATTCCACTATCAGTAAGTTAAGAAGACGACATTCTATAAATTCTTTCAGAAGTTCTGGGTCAAACTGTAGTAAAGGGTCCTTTTATTCCTGTCATCTAACTAAGAGGAGAACAATTATGAGGAGAAGTGGATGGAGAAAATAATTTGTTGCGGCATTGCACTGGTCCTCTTCACAGAAACACATGTGACCATGTCTAAACAAGAAATATTACAATGCTTATGCCACAGGCAGCCGTAGTACATTTGAATTTCCGAGCCGGGTCAACCTTTCCCATGCACCTCTGCCCCTTCAGTAGAAGTAAATTCAACCTATATGAACCATAAATTCTGACCGTTTCAACCTTGTTGCACTTGCTAGTCCTGTTGATTGTCTTCTTTATTAACCCAATGTCCATGCAGTGCAGTACAAGATGGGACCGGAAAGGTTGACCTGGATCGGAAATTTAAATGTACTACGGCTGCCCATGCTCCGATCCCAGTTTGTACTGTACCCAGCTCTATGTACAGGACTAGCCGGTGCAACAAGGTTAACACGGTCAGACTTTATGCTTCATATAGGTTGAATTTACTTTTACTAAAGGGGCAGATTTGCATGAGGCATGATTAGAAGAAACATTAACATAAGGTGTTTATACAATTAAATCTAACTATTTTGAAATTACAATTTGAAATTAAGGCTTATGGAACCATATATAAATGGTAACAGAATACAATATCTGGTTTGCAACTTTTTGGCCCGTTTTAAGAATGAGTATCTCCTTAAGGGCGAAAAATTTCACTGAAAATCTGAATTTTTTTGTATACAAATATTTTCCATTTATCAGCAAATGAGATGCGTAACAAAATCACAATTTCTGCTGTATTTGTGCAAAAGATCATCCTCTCCTGTAAACAAATTTAGAATTTCAAAACCATATGAAAACCGATACCATGCAGCCAATGACGTCATATGCAACTCGTAGCGTACGCACTATTCGGGTAAATTTCTGTTGTCATATCTTCTATTGAAACATCTTTGTCATTTTCTTACAAATGTTTGTAATTTCGTAAAAGATGGATATAAGGATGCTTTTTTTCTTCTAATAAAAAACCCAAAGATCTGTCATAGAGATTTTAATTAATAATCTTTTTAAGCAATATCTTATCTTGTCTACATTTTTAAGTAGATTTTAGATGAATAAATATTAATTCTAGAAAATACTTATGATTTTTGTTTTGTTTCCAAGGGAAATGATATCTGCATTATAATTAAATATGTTGAGCAACAATATATTTGTTATCTGCTAGTGCTACATTTTGTTGGTTAGAAATGAAGAATTACGCACCTGTGTCCTTCCATCATACAAGCATGGTTCACCATAAAAAAGTTAACTTCAAAATCATCTGTGCAAGTTCTCTTAATCTGATAATGTTCTAAAAAACTATGTTTAAAGGAACTGTAAGCGTTATCTCAATAATACACAACAGCACCCTTTTAACCTTTAACTGATCAACATAGCAGACTTTTCCTTAGATTATTGATTGATTTATTTACAGAAAAGCTTGCAATTAACACTTTGATTGCAAGATTGATTTAAGAAATATTTACTTTTAAAAAGTTAAAGAATATAAATGTTCATATTTGGATTTTTTAAACCCAGACCCAAGAGAAATAATCAAATTCAAAACAAATTAATTAAAACATATTATAAAATATAAACTATATACAAATGTGGCGAAAGATAATCGATGACTACAGGTTGTAATATCTGAATAATTTGTTTGAAATTAAATTGATTTTTTACGGTCTAAGTCGTATGTTGCAATTTTCTCAATTTGTATAGACGCCATGTTATTCGGTATGAGACCTCTTTAACAATTTTCTCCTTATAGACGCAACAGATAGAAGTAAGATTAGTAGCGATCAAGAGCGCTTTTTTATCGCATTAAGCCTATACCCCCTTTCATTTTTCGCGAACACTCCCTTTAAACAGAAATCTTTTTCGAGCTGAAATTAACTGAACTAAGAGCAACACAAAATAAAAACAAATTGTGTGATTTTCTGGACAGTTTTTCTGTGATCAGTAAGAAAATTATTCAAAAGAGAAGTGTAAACATTTTGAGAGACTTTAATCACTATCCTTAATGATATTTCTTTTAAATTTAATATATTCCAGGTGTCCGAAATCATACTTGTATGGATTAAAGTTACAGCATAAGGAATAGAATATTTTTAGAAATTTTAAAGATTTTCATTATTAAACTTCTTTCCCTATGCACAAAAATGTCATAAAAATTATCTTTTTTTTCAATAAAACTTCTAAAAACTTTTAAACCAATATATCAACCGTCCAGGAGAACTTTTTGATTGAAAATGTTGCCAAAAAAATTCGCACCCCTCTCCTATACCTGTTCCAATGAATTGCACCATTTTCACACAACATCCCTCACATGTTTTCAACGGGGGCATGTTGTCCTTAAAAAAATTTTAAACTTGAAATTCTCAGATGCTAGGTCACATACCCAAGATGTTCAGAATTTTATTAATAATTATCAAAGCTGCAAATAGAAGTCTATCCCCTGAGGAAAAGCATTAATCCTCTCCTGTCATACAGTTCACTTGTTTAAAACTCAGTCAGCTGTCTAGTGTTTGGTGTCCAGGTAGAGAAAGCTGTGTCTCCAGGTGTAATCTTGACCTAGCAGGACAAAACTGGTTTTTACTTTTTCTTCCCATGTGGAGAGAAAGTACATAACTGCTTAGACAACAATATTTCCATGGAATTATGATTGAAGGAAGGGTCAACATAGTGTAGCCATACATATATCCTTGGAGGATCCATCATGTGGGACTGTTTGCATGAGGACATCGAACCCAGGTCAACAGGAGGGTTAGTCTTGTTTTATCTATAGGAAAAAATATATTTACATTATAAAAAAGAACAAATAGTCAGAACAAGAAATAGAGATTGAACTGGAACACAGAACAGATGCTGAAAATGTCAAGAATAAAATGGTGGAATAACAGATTAAAAAAGAACCAGATCATCAGGCTCAGGAGAACAACGAAGATCAACAAGAATCTCTAAACCTGTCAACAAATTGACCCATCTCCTTTACCAAGAACACCAGGAATTCCCAATAGAAAATCTCGTACAAGTTTACCCCGAGCAATGAGGAACATGGGAATCAAGATCTCGGGAAAAATGTAAGCTACTTACTACAGGATAAGTTAGCTGCACTACAGGATAAGTTAGCTACAATACAGGATAAGTTAGCTACAATACAGGATAAGTTAGCTACACTACAAGATAAGTTAGCTACACTACAGGAAAAGTTAGCTGCACTACAGGATAAGTTAGCTACACTACAGGATAAGTAAGCTACACTACAGGATAAGTTAGCTACACTACAGGATAAGTTAGCTGCACTAAAGGATAAGTTAGCTGCACTACAGGATAAGTTAGCTACACTACAAGATAAGTTAGCTACACTACAGGATGAGTTAGCTACACTACAGGATAAGTTAGCCACACTACAGGATAAGTTAGCTACACTACAGGATAAGTTAGCTACACTACAGGATAAGTAAGCTACACTACAGGATAAGTTAGCTACACTACAAGATAAGTTAGCTGCACTACAGGATAAGTTAGCTACACTACAAGATAAGTTAGCTACACTACAGGATGAGTTAGCTACACTACAGGATAAGTAAGCTACACTACAGGATAAGTTAGCTACACTACAGGATAAGTTAGCTACACTACAGGATAAGTTAGCTACACTACAAGATAAGTTAGCTGCACTACAGGATAAGTTAGCTACAATACAGGATAAGTTAGCTACACTACAGGATAAGTTAGCTACAATACAGGATAAGTTAGCTACACTACAGGATAAGTTAGCTGCACTACAGGATAAGTTAGCTGTACTACAGGATAAGTTAGCTACACTACAGGATTAGTTAGCTACACTACAGGATAAGTTAGCTGCACTACAGGATAAGTTAGCTACACTACAGGATAAGTTAGCTACACTACAGGATAAGTAGATAAGTAAGCTACTTACTACAGGATAAGCCCAACTCCAAGGATCATGGCAACGTGGATCTTCCCAAGTATTGCATTCAAAGCATTGTATTTTGTTCCCGGCTGAAACAGTATCTGTTAATATCGCAAAAATATAATTCGTTTAAAAACCACAAAAACTTCAAACAAGCTAAAAGAAAAAGCTTTAATTTCATTTAAACTTTATCTAACTTTAATCACCAAAACGTAAATTAAAGTTTAAATCAACCCTATCATGATTGGTGGGGGAACGGGGTTAAAGTTTTATTTAGATAACAAAAAACGTCTTGACTTTTACAAATTCATGATTAAAGACAAATAAAACTGAGTTCTAGCCAAGAACTTAAATTTTCTAATCCCAATATTTTCAATCTGCAGGTGATAACCTTTTAAGTATCCATCATAACTGTTTGATTTTAAAGAATGCATAGGTTGAAAAGCACCGAGTTGTTCAGACATAGAGATTAAAAAAACAGAATTTGTGGCAAGAACCATAATTCCTTTGCAAGATTATTTTGAAGCATAGGGTAGGCAAAGCGGTATTTAAAAAAAATCAAAAATAGTTCATAAATTTCCTAATTTTATACATTTTTTTGATCTACTTTTTTGAATTTTTTTAAAATCTTCTTAACATCGTAACCATTACAGATTAAAAATGTTATTATAACTTACACATACAATCCCCACCAGCTGCTCTGCTAACACCAGCTTGTAACACCAGGAATAATAATCCTAAACATTCATAGTCTTTAAAGGGAGTGTCTGTCTAGATATGGTAGTTTAGCTGAGAATACAGCTTTGTAGAGAAATATTTTAGGATTCATTTCAGACCTATCACACGTGTTCACGGTGCATATTTGTTTAGCGAGAATTCAAATTCAATCTTTTAAACTGCATTCTCAGGTTAAATACCATATCTAGCCAGACAGAAAAAATAAACCGTAACAAGGAAAAAATCCAAATGTTTGAAGATTTTTTATAATTTTAATTTTAATTCATAAAAATGGGATCTCAATTGTTTTTCTGCATTACCATTTACAATTGTAAAAATTGAAATCTATGGAATTTGTATTGTACAAATTAAATCTTATTTTAAAAATGGGATTAACTGGTTTCAGACTTGAAATTGTGAATTTTTACCTAGAAATAGTCTCTCCCAATTCTGGGTTAATTTGAATGATTCAACCATTATTCAACACCATACCCTTACATTCTATACATCTGAAATTGAAATAGAATAAAACTTCTAATACTGGAGAATTTTCTTCTTTTCTAGGATTTGTTCAGAATGTGACATAAGTTAAAAAATGTAAACAAAATATATTTGGAAACAATTATACATTTTCACAAACTTGTGCAGATCAAGGGACTGAAAGTAACCTTCCATTTCCATTTATAGAGTGGCATTTATACAGCAATACCCTTTAATCCTATGTTTGATCAAGGATTTCTTGGATTATTTATATGGCTGGACATTAAGTACCTAGAAACTGCGCATAGTGTACTTTGGTCGATTTTGTAACCAAGCTTGAATATTCTAAGAACTTCTCAGAAATAAAAATAATTATCACGGAGTGTATAGTGTACAATTAGGGTTTAGTATAGTGTTCAATTATGGTGAAGGATACGGTTCAATTAGGGTTCAGTATAGTGTTTAATTAGGGTTCAGTGTAGGGCTCTATTAGGGTTCAGATTAGGATTTAGTATAGTGTTCAGTATACGGTTTCAGTTAAGGTTCAGTAGAGGATTCAGTTTCTACTCAGTTTAGGGTTCAGAATATAGTTCAATTATGGTTCAGCAGAGGGTTCAGTATAGAGTTCAGTTTTGGGTTCAGTATAGAGTTCAGTAAAGAGTTCAGCATAGGGTAAAGTAAAGGGTTCAGTATAGTGTTTAGTAACGATTTTTGCCGTTCATTAACGAACTCTTCCGTTTATTTTCGAAAACCTTCGTTTCGTTAGCGGGACTTTGCCCAGCCCCAAAGAATAGGGTTCAATTAGGGTTTAGTATATGTTCAATTATGTTTCAGCGAAGGGTTTAGTATAGGGTTGAATATAGTGTTCAATAAGGGTTCAATTTAGGGTTCAGTATAGGGTTCAGTATTGGGTTCAGTATAGGGTTCAGTATAGGGTTCAATATATATGGTTTAGTATAGGAGTCATTAAAGGGTTCAGTTTAGGATTCAGTATTGGGTTCAGTTTTGGTTTCAGCGTAGGGTTCAGTATAGGGTTCAGTATAGGGTTCATTATAGGGCGAAGTTTATAATTCTGTATAGGGTTCAGTCTTGGGTTTAGTTTTGGGTTTAGTTTTGGGTTCAGTTTAGGGTTCAGTATAGCATTTAGTAAAGGGTTCAGTATAGTGTTCAGTATAGGATTTAGTAAAGGGTGCAGTATAGGGTTCAGTAAAGGGTTTAATATATGATTCAGTATAGGGTTCAGTTTTGGGTTCAGTATAGGGTTCAGTGCAGGGTTTAGATTGGGTTCAGTATATAGGGTTCAGTTTAGGGTTCAGTATAGAGATGAGTTTTGGGTTTATTATGGGTTCAGTATAGGGTTTAGTTTTGGGTTAATTTTAGGGTTCAGTATAGAATTCAGAATGGTTTTCAGTATATGATTCAATATAGCATTCTTTATTTGGTTTAGTAAATATATATTTAGAATTAAACTCATTTCTCTCAACTTCACTATTAACTGTCAATCAGGTAATTTGTCAGACAATACAGTTAATTCATCTCCTAGGTCTTAGGTTAAGCTTTCAGGGCCGCTTCTTTCAAGACACTATAGAGCTCAGGATCAACATCAATAATATAACTATTTGTTCGCCAAAACATTTTCATCTCCATCTTCTTATTTCCCAAATTATGTTTGTTTAATATAAATCCTTAACCATTTGCAAATATTTTTGAAAAATTAAATTAAAAATCACATTTTTTTGCAAGCTGCAAATTATAAGAACAAGAAAAATTGTATTAAAGTCTAAAGATGTTTAGAGATGTTTCATCCTAAGATATCCTATAAAAATGTCTAAGTTTAAACGTATTTCCCCATCTAATAAATCCCCCGCTGACAGGTTCCCCCCCCCCCTCCCGTCTGGTTCTGGTATTATTTGCTACCCCCCTCCCCCCTCAAAAAAAATGATGGGGAGGTGGGGATTTATCGCCCCCTTTACTCCCCCCTCCCCTCAGCCTTAATTTTTGTGAAAAACTTATTCCTTGAAAATTATCGACATTTGTTTTCTGTTGTCGAGTATAGTACAGAGCACTTTTTATTAAATACTTTTTGTAATTTTTGTAATTAAGACTAGTCTGAAACTAATGTGTCGTATCAATTCGATGCAAGTAATTTTCTAAATTTGTAAAATTATTGTTCAATTTTTTTGTTGATGGTTCCTCTTTTTGGGATTGACCACAAAAAATATTAATAAGTTTGTTCAAGTTTTTTTTGTATAAGCAGGGGTTGCTTTACTGAAATTACTCAACGCTAAGTTAAGACGAAATTTTAAGTATCGTTTTCATTTTGAAGCACTTCCTTCAGTTTGAGATTTGTTCCCTAGGCCGCGTATTGCGGCACTGACAAGGCAACGTTATTCAATAAATATCTAAATAATTAATCATTTCCTTTCCGTTGAACTTCAACAGTACGATGAATAGTAGAAAGCCTATTTACCTCACAGCAATCTAAAGATTGCAAGCTCTTGCAAAAAAATGAGAAATTTTCCCATCACGTTTTAAAAACTAAATCTAAAATCAAATGCCTAAAAATGTACATGTCTAGGGCTACCAAAAGAGTATGATTGGGTTAGTAGAATAAAATCACGGGCCAAGGTGTTGCGCCACTTTTCAGTCTAAACGTAGTCTTGATCATTAATGCAACTTTTCATAGCAATCTGGATCTTAGTGACCTGTATTTTATAGAAATAAATCAAAAAAGAGCGATTTAACAAAATCAAGGGGTTTAATTGGGATTCTGTCACAAATATCGTGATTTCAAGTAAATTTAATAATTCTCTTAAAATGTAAAGCCACTTAAATTTCCCAATACAGTTAGTTCTTTCTTTTTCTTTTTCATACTCTGGTGCTTTCATCTCTTCAGTCTAGTCACTTGATCTTTAGAATAAAAATAAAAGAAATTACGATTAGTTAGACGTGGTGCACATAGGTTTGCCGCGTTAGTAAGTTGACGGTACAGTCCAAAGAGGACCGCAAAGATTGGCCCAGCTCGGATATTCAAATGTACACCGGTTGTCCGTGGATGACCTATTTTATAAAAAAATGTGTTTTTTTTAATTTAATATTGTTTCTTGAGAGAGTTTATTATTTTTTGTGAAACAATTTTTTTTGATAATTGTTGATTATGCTTAGAATTCACAAAACCAGATTACATTAAGGTTTTATATTTACATATGAAGACAATCAGGGAAAAAAAATTCAGATTTTTCTTTGTATCGAAATGAAAATCCGGTTGTGAATCAGGTTTCACGAAAAATGAAAGGAGGTATATGCTTTCGTTGAAAAATATTCGATGGTGATTGCTATTAATCTTACTTCAATCTGTTGAGTCTACAAGGAGAAAATTGTTAAAACGAAGAACGTAGCGTCCATACAAATTTAGAAATTTGCAATATTCGACTCGGATCGTTAAAAAATTAATTTAATTCCAAAAAATCATTTAGATATAATAACCTATAATCATCAATTTTTTTCGACGCATTCATAATGCAGTTGATTTTTCATAATATTTTCGAACATTCCTGGAAAATATGAAAATGTCGTCTTCATTATTAAAAATCCTCGAAATTCTAGTAATGAATGTTTTCATAAGTAAATCTCAGAACACAAAAATAAAAAATTTCATGAAATATAAGTTATATACGAGTGCGTCGAAAAAAATCGATGATTATATGTTGTAATATTTAAATGATTTATTTGGAATTCAATTGATTTTTTAACGATCCGAGTAGAATAAAAAAGTTTGTAAGTAAACTGCAACCAAAAGTTCACTAAGTTCAAAAAGGTTTAAAATTTGCGAAATATTTTTAAATTTAAAAGTAAAGCCAGGTCTAACCTCAGACTAAATTGTTAATATTGGGCTAGCGCTAATTTCTTTCCACTCCTTTAACATTTATATCTTAGTTAGTTTTGTTTGTATTTCTCAACTGAGTAAAAATGTATTAGTTAAAGTTTTTTTCTTTTTTTTTCTTTTATCTTTACAAAATTTATTCAGTATAGAACATTATGTATAAATTGAAATTATGATAAAATCATGTATGGAGTTTAACAACAATACCCTTGCTTTTAACTAAGTTTTTGTTCATAAATTGATAATCACTTCCCGTTTAAAACAGATATTAAAAAAATTTCTGTCCTTCTTTTCTGTAAGAATATATCTTTGTTTTTGCTTCTTTCGAATTGATTGCAACATGATGGAATCTTTAAACAACAAAAAAGTCATTAACTCCTACATTTTATTTCTATCGTTATTAGTTTTTGATGGTTGTGTCACTTTGTGCAATTTTTGATTTTTGATTACAACTAAGTTCAACGAAGTCTTATTTTAAAATGTATCAAGGATTTCTAATTATTTTGTATTAAACTGTTGAGGTCGGCCTTTGGGTTTAACTAGGACGGAGGTTGTTGTAAAACTGTAAAATAAGGCCGTGTCTTTCTGTTTCAAGCTTTCCACGGATTCAAGTCTGGAGACCGTAGACTCAACACTTGCGCTACAAAACATGTTCGTATTTTTGTTGAAATATTTGCAACCTGATCGATGTCATAGACCCTTTCTAATTCAAATTATAGATTCTGTTAGATCATATACTCTATAGTTTGAAAAAATCAACGGTTTACACCATCAGGTTGCAAAAACTCAATTCCTTGGATTCCATTTTCAATTTAATTTGTTTTTTTAAACATGGGTTGTCTTGATGAAATTAAAATATCTTTATATTTTATAATCTTTTTTGCTTGATGTTTTCTTTATCATCTCTTATGTTTTTTTTTACATGAATTTCTTCGCAACAAGTGTCATTAATATTGTTATTATATGCTACGATTTTTTCATGTTGCTGGACCCCTAATATTACAATTTAGATGATAGTCTCCTTTTCTTTTCAAAATATGAACTTAATACATGTAAAACAAACCTATTCATGGAACAGGTTGTCCTAATAATTCTAAAAACACGGCAATATATATCGGAAACTTTACTTTCAAAAATTAAACAAGATGG